AATTGAACTTGGGAACTTATTTGCTTGAGTTACTTATTTCTTTCTTCCTTGTTTTATGTTCTTTGTTTTTGTTTCTATTTTGTGTAGGGAAACTAAATTGGATCATTCAATCACCAATCCCTGTGGAATCGACCTCGCACTTACATATGCTATACTACCAACGGTTCGTGCACTTGCGAGTATCACAAGTTGAGGATGCAGCTTAATCCATTTTGGTGGAGCTAAATCTACGCAACATCCTTCCCCTTTTCTCAATTCAATCCTTAATCCTTCTTTTGTTCCTAGCCTGTAAATGTCTTCTCCAAGGACTCGTGCCCACAGTGCTTCCTCCTCGATTCCTCCAGACTACATCACCGGGAGTGGAATCGACGCTCACGCCATGGAAGTTCGAAGCAGACTTCATCCTTTTGTTCAGAAAAAGTTGGACGAGAACGTCCTTCATTTGTTCGAGAGTACTCTGACTCTGGGACCTCGCTGGTTTGGTTCTGTCCCAGCTGAGATAGCAGAGTTAATCAAGAAGGATGCCGAAGCACCTCTGTGTTACCAAGGGAATTCTACCTTATCCTCTTATTCTTGGGTCAGCAAGAATTTGAGCCGTTCGTTTCCGTTCAGTGAAGTGAGGAATAGTCCTGTGAAGTGGGCGGACTGGATTGACAAACTTCTTCCCAAGTTTGGAGCTCACTGGAGGCGGGCAGGAATTTATGATGCAATCCTTCTGTCTAAACAGTCCATTAATCGGGATGAGAACCTGCTTGCTGCCGCCCTATGTTTCTGGAATTCTGCAAGCAACACGTTTGATTTCCGTGTGGGTCCGATGGCGCCAACCCTGCTGGACATGGCTCAACTCTTTGGGTTCAGGCCTCATGGGAGACCTGTTGATGCTGTTGGTGACTATCATCGAAGGAAGAACCAGGAGAAACTAGCCAAACCCATCACCATCTCTCCTTCACCATCTCTCCTGCTGCTATCCCCAACCGTTCCTCTGCTGTTCTGCTTGAGTACAGGCATTTGGCAGAAGCCTTGCACAACCACACTGATGTTGGACTTGGGCCAACAGTTCTGGCTCTTCTTTTCAAGAATCTGCATACTGCCACAATGGAGAGTCCCCTGAACCTATCTGCTCCTGGCTCATTTTGGATGATCCAGATCTGGCTGCAGGTATATTTTCCGGAATTCCGATTTCCTGATATCGTTTTGCCTGAAAACCAAGTTCTGGCCCTCCTATTGATTTCAGCAGAGGTGCCTAAGCGCTCCATTGAAGAATATCTGATGTTCTTCAGGCATTGTAGCAAGAAATTAGCAGCTCAGTGGCAAGTGGTGATTAGAAGGACGTATCCTTGGTTCCGACCTGGATATCGACTTTTTGAAAAGGAGCCAGAAGGTGAAATTGCCAGGACAGAATTCAGGGAGATATTCCTGAGTGTGACCCTGCTAAGAGATCTGCCTCATGGAGGCGGAAGGCCTCCAAATTATCATCTAGGGGCGGAAGTCTACCATCCTAACTTCTGTGCAAGACAGCTTGGCTGTCCCCAGGTTATTCCTTTCAAATACTACAAGAGCTGCAATCGAGCCAGTTCCTTGAGGGACTTGGATAATTTAGAGGTGCACAAGGATGCACGGTGCGCAGTGAACAAGATCAAAAATAGTCTAGATGGTCTCTATCCATCCTGGGAGCCAAATTCATCCAGTTCCGCCGACTTTGATGCTTGGTGGAAGGCCAGGTTTCGAGGGATGCCTGCTTCGGCTGCTGCAGTTAAGGTGCTTTTTGAGGGCTGGTCCTATGGAAACGTGTTTGGAGAGACAGCGGGCCTCCAAATTATCATCTAGGGGCGGAAGTCTACCATCCTAACTTCTGTGCAAGACAGCTTGGCTGTCCCCAGGTTATTCCTTTCAAATACTACAAGAGCTGCAATCGAGCCAGTTCCTTGAGGGACTTGGATAATTTAGAGGTGCACAAGGATGCACGGTGCGCAGTGAACAAGATCAAAAATAGTCTAGATGGTCTCTATCCATCCTGGGAGCCAAATTCATCCAGTTCCGCCGACTTTGATGCTTGGTGGAAGGCCAGGTTTCGAGGGATGCCTGCTTCGGCTGCTGCAGTTAAGGTGCTTTTTGAGGGCTGGTCCTATGGAAACGTGTTTGGAGAGACAGCGGGCAGAAGTTTCACAGTTCAGACCATCCAGGACCTCAACAATCAAATTATAGAAGGTAGATTCTTCATTCTGTCTGTATTTTCTTGCTTCGTCATCTATATTTGTCCGACAAATCTATTCTGCCTGTATCAGATCCTTCCATGAAGAAAATCATTGGGGGACAAACATGTCAGGCTGGAGCAATGTTTGGTAAGCTTTGATTTACCCTGTTCCTTCCATTTTATTTCGCTGGATTTAGTTCTGACTTCATATTTCTCTTGTGCAGTTAGTTCTGTCATTGCCCCTGGTGATTTGGAGCCCCCTTCTGGTGATGACGAAGATGAAAACCTGACAGAACCGCCACCTGCTGAGGCTGCCTCCACTGCTGGAAAGAAAAGAAAGGAAAGCATTCCTGCGCGGGGCAATGTGGCCCAACCTGAAACCTCTGGTATGGTTCTTGTATTCAGATTTCATTTCCTTTGACATGTTCTGTCCTATTTGCTCTTCTGACTCTTGCTTGTTCTGTGTAGCTGAAAGTCCTCCTCCTTTTCGTCTTACTAGGTCTAAAAGACTTAGGAAGAGGCGTGAGATTGATTCTGATGAGACAGAGGAGTTTGCTGCCAATCCGAATGAAGCCTCTGGAACTGATGATGAGCTGCGAGAAGCTTTTAAGGCTGTTGAACAGGAGAAGTAGGAGAAGCAGCAAGAAACAACAGCGGAAGCCCCTTCAAAAAAGAAAGGAAAAAATTTCGACGAAGAGGTGAGACTGAATTCTGGCCACTCAAAAATATGCTCTTTCTGTTTTTCCTTTTCCAATTCCTAATTTTTGTTTGTCTGTTTAGGAGGAGATCCCGGCTGAGGTGATAGCAGAGAGTATTGCCTTGGCGCAGAAACAGCGTGCTATGCCTAGGACAGAACTGACTAGCTCGGAACTGGCCGCTTTTGAAGACACGGAGGCTGAACAATCCACTGCAGCTCCAGCCTCTAAGGAGCAGCAAGAACGTTCTGTCTCAGAACCAGTGGAACAGGCAGAAACTCCTGTGGCAGTTTTAAACACTCTGCCTGTATTTGAGCCCGTAGAACAGGCTGATCCTCCTGTCGCAGCTCACGCAGAACAAGCAATGCTGGGGTCTGGGGAACAGATAGAGGCTTCGGCACCCCTGGAAGCTGTGGAACAGGTAGAACTTCCGGTCACAAGTCTGACAGAGCCGTCTGCCTCGAGGCCTGTGGAGCAGGTGGAGCTTCCTGTTGCAACCCCAGAATCTGAAGTAGAATTAACCTCTCGCAGCTGTAAGTATTCACCATGTCATGAATTTTTCCTTTCATTTCTGCCCTTTTCTAATCCACAATTTTGATTTTGCAGATGCCTATCCAGTCCCGTGCTGTCTCAACTATCACTGCCTCCTTTGCTGACCCAGAATTGGCCGAATTTGAGGCTATGGACTTGGATGCCCAACTGGACAGGCTGGAGAAACTCAGTTCTACCCCTAACAAGACCAAATTCAAAGCTGTGGATGAGGCCATGGAGAGAGTGAAGATCTGGCAATCTACTGAGCTGGAGCTGGAGGAAAATAGGGAAGCTGTTGAACAGCTGATGAAGGATCTGGACCTGCTGCACGGGCAGAACATGGCTCCTAAGCCAATTCTTGAGATAAGTCTAAATCTGGCCAGAGATGTGCTCAATCTACATGATCGTTATGAGGATCTCAAGCCCACTTTCGAGACTTGTGAACTCTGTAAGGCTACCCACGATGCCAACTTGGCTGATTATGCAAAACAGAAGGCAGAACTGGACCAGATGGTGGCGGGGTATAAAGAGGCCAAGGCTACCGCAGATAGGCTGGAGAAGCAGATTGAGGAGCTTCAAAAACAACTGGCAGAACGCAGGAAGGAGCAGCGCAGGCTGGGTACTGGACTGAGTTGTAAGACCAAGGCCACCTTCCTTGTGCAGAGCATGGTTTCAACTTCCAGGCCAGCTTTGGAAGTTGCAGAAGCTTCAATCCACCAGGGAGTACTGCTTCAGAAGGAGCTTTCAATTAAGAAGACAAGTCTGCAGGAAACCCTTAGAAGACTAGGATTTTAAAATTCAGATTTTGGAATTGTAATGAACTGGTTGAGTCACCAAAGTGACTATTTGAAAATAAAAGTTTATTTATTTTTTGGAATTTTAATTTTTCTAAAAAAACTGAATGAAGACTTAGAAGATTACATTAATATAGGATTAAAACTAAAACAAAATCAAGCAACAGTTTCAATTCGTTCTCTTTCTATCCCAGGATCTGTCTGCACAGCCTGTGAATCCCACATGGTTGGATAGAATTTCTTTAACCATTTGCCATTGATTGGCGCAGCATGGACTTCTCCATCTCGATCCTGCAGCCTGTATGCTCCTAATCCCAAGACTTGGTTAATTACGAAAGGTCCTTCCCAAATTGGTGACCATTTTCCATAACCAGCTATATGTGTTCCGAGGGGCAGAACTGCTTTCCAGACTATCTCTCCTTCTTCAAAACTCTTGTTTTTAACTCTCTTGTTGTAAGCTCTCGACACAGCCTGTTTTCCTGCTAAGAGTTTGTTGAGGGTATCAATCCTACTTGCATCCAACCCTTCTAGTTCTAATAACATGGCCTGGTTGTAGTCTTCTCCCACTAGTTCGTGTTGATGAGCAATTCTGAGGGATTGAACTGCAATTTCCATAGGCAGAATTGCATCGTGTCCATAAGTTAAGGCATACGGAGTCATGCCAGTTGCTTCCCTTTTTGAAGTTCTGTACGCCCACAATGTTTCTGACAGCTTCTCATGCCATTGCTTTGGATTTTTCTCAAGCATTTTT